TTTTTGCAGAAACGTGTGATTTGGCTGACAGAGCGCTCGTGGCTCTCTCTGCAGATCTTTCAGAAACATGTGACTGCACTGATTTAACTGACAAGCTGCTCTGAGGTCTGTCTTCAGCTTCCTCTCCGTCGTTTCCCTCATTGAGGATCTCAGAACCTTCTTTGGCTGTTTCGTGAGCAGAACATTTGGACTTGTTTGATCGTGCAGAAACACTTGACTTGACTGAAGCTGAGCTCACTGGTCTCCCTTCAGCCTCTCCTTCAACAACAACCTCCTCAGAAGCTTCGGTGCAGCTTTCAGAAGGAACCGCAGAACCTCTCGATCTCACAGACGCTCTGGACTTTGCGGATTTCACAGATGCAGTCGACATGTTGCTTGGAGCTCGTTCTGCTTGTTCAGTGTCTCCTGCTGCTGAAACCTGGCTGGACGTTGACAGGTCTGATCTGGCTGATTTATCTGAGCGAACTGATTTCACCGACAGAGCGCTGGGTCCTCGCTCCGCCTCACGCTCTGAACGATTCGACTGGCGCGATCTGGCGGAAGCGTTTGACTTGATGGATCTGTCCGACATGCAGCTGGCTCTGTGCTCGGCGTCTCGTCCGTCACAGAGATCCTCGTCATGTCTGGGAGAATCTCGTGACGTTTCCGTCGCTGCAGAGACGTTTGTTTTAGCAGACGTAGTCGACATGGCACTCCGCGCTCTCTCTGCAGCTGCTTCTGTAAACCCTGTGGACCGATGTGACTTTCTAGACACTGCAGATGATTTTGATGCTGCAGATTTCTCTGACATGGTGCTAGATGCTCTTTCTTCACTTTGCTCTGCGTCATTTCCATCCTTAGGGTTGTCAGATAATTTAGATTTGCTAGATTTTGCAGAAACGTTTGACTTTGCTGATTTGACCGACATCGTGCTTCGTGGTCTACCGTCTTCAGAATTGACAGAAACGTCAACACTTTCTCCAGATGCGTTAGATGCAGCATCTTCTACGTCTTCAGTGTCGACTCGACTCGTCTCTTCACAGCCTTTTGATTTTCCAGATGTTGCAGAGACATTTGTTTTAGCAGATTTGACTGACATCGCACTCTGTGTTCTCTCACCTTCCTCATGCTCCTCAGCTAGTTTTGGAGACTCGACAGCAGGAGAAGGTGGACTTTCTTCAGGTGGAGCTTCAGATGTCCTTGATTTTTTAGACTTTGAGGAAATGTTTGACTTCTCTGATGTTGCACTTTGTGCTCTCAGTTCAGGTAGATTCTCCTCAGCTGAGTTTGCGTCACATGCCGACTGTGCAGAGTCATTGGATGTTCCTGACATGGCACTGGGTGTCCTCTGCTCTGCCTCCTCAGCTGGTTCCTC